GTTCCCCTGAGAAAGGCGGCGGCGCTTGGTTTTCTAGGGGCGCTCCTCCTTCCCGCGGTGCTTTGCATTCCGCGGTGAGTCAGGAAGCGCGCTGGGAAACGCAAGGAGCGCGTAAATACCGCGACGCTTGCGCCCTTCGCGAGGGCTGGGCAAGGAAGGCCGCGAATGTGAAAAGGGTTTGGAAGGAAGTCACTACAGCGAAGTAAAACGGTACGGCTGATGTTGGCAGCCACGTTCCCATAGAAACGTGGTGTGTGACGCACGTAGGCTTTTAGGAAGATCTTGCGCGCTCTGCTAATTAAGCATAACGAGACATCAGGTTTCTGAGAAAACTGTCGTTAAACGCCTAATATCAGAATATAACACGTTTAACTGGAAAGCCACTGATAAGGACGCTTTAAAAAAATCCTGAGTGTGGCTTTTCCAAAGTTCATGTTTTTGAGGCTTTGCAAAGTGGTAATTACTCTATATGGTAGTCTTGCATTACAGTAAAGAGTAAGTGGATTAGAAAAGCATATTATTTCCCTGGTCAAGGACTGTGTTCTCTAAAATGAGTGTTTTGTTGTTTTTCACCTCAGGCAACTTATGGCTAACGAACCCCTGGAAAAACTGGGATTTAAAGACCTGATAGATGAGAAATCAGAAGCAAAACCTGAAAAGCTATAATGAAGACGAGAAAACTTTGCTTGTGTGGAATGCATAACTCTTATGTAGTACATATTGTACATTTTGTTCATGTTGGAGCAGGAAGTGTTTCCTGAAGGAATGTTTTTTCCAAAATTCTCTTTCCTAAAATAAGATTTTTGGAATGAACGAAAGTGCTGCAATTGTTTGCTTTATTTCTGAAGTATTTCACGCTTAACTTTTTTTTTTTTATTTCCCTAGCCCAGCCTTAAAAGATCCATAAGATTATTTTGCACACGAGAAAACAATTATTGCCTGAGGTGTTCTCTCACAAAAGAACCCAGGTCTCTGGATGAGAAGTAAAGTTCTATTTAAAAAAAATTGGGTAGATTGGATAGATCTCAAACTTTAAGTCAGCTTTATTTGAGTATTGCTGACATGCTTAGAGCAGTTACTTGTCAGTTGGAAATAAAATTGGTATGGTACTTACAAACTGCTTTTAATTAAATACTAGTAGTGATCCCCTCCTTTGGGAAGATATCCTTCTCACTCTGATATATGAAATACTTGGGTCCTGATTTCCCCCCCCCCCCCCTCCCATCTTTTTACCTTCGTCATTGCTTGGAGATTATTCTAGTTCTACACACCAGTAAGATAATGATCCTGCTTTTATTTACAGTGCTAACGATGTTCATTCAACTTTATTTCATCATTTAACTAGGAATCTTTCATGGTGGATTTCATCATTTCTCCAGCTAGAGCATTTTGCCTGTTCTTTTTCACATCCTAATGGTGAAACTGGGGTGGAGACAGGAGCAGTATTTATTTGTGTACTGAGTAAATGTGAATTGTAGATCTGAATGGACCCTTCCTCCTCCAAAGTGATAATTTCATTCTTTTAAAAACATTAAAAGACGGGGTAGATCAGAAGTTAGATATCTAAAAAATACAGTATGTCATTCCAAAAGACATCAGCTGGGGCCCTTGCTTTGTCACAGTAATGCAATGACTGTACAGCAGATTTTCAGTTGAGTCTGGGTATGTCTTTAAGATCCCTAACAGGTGTCTGTAAAATTTAGTGTGAATTAGCAGAGACAGCAGTGTTCCCTCTCATGTACTAATGCAAATAAATCTTTCTTAATTAATACTGAGCTCACCTCAGGGACTATTAGATAGCCCTCTGGAAATATGTCTCAAGCCGACAATAAATCTGAAGATCTTCTGGTTGTATTTTCCACTGTCTCTCTTCCCCGTCCCCCCTTTTATTTTTTAATCCATTGGATCATTTTTCTGTGTAGCTGGCTCTTAAAATGCAAGCTTCATGGGGCAGGGCCTGCAGATATGGATAAACTTTGTTCATACCGAGCAATACTCCTGTGTCTTCTCTTTAATTAGCATTCTCTCTTTAATACATCTTTCTTGCTGTCTACTACTACTGCTTTTGTTTGCTCCCGTTGTGTATGCCAGTCTCTGTTCACATAGAGATCTAGGAGCGGGTACTCGAATGTTTTCCGCTCCTCATGCTGATGTGCAGAGCTGGAACTTAAACTGGTGCTCAGGTCTAATCTGATTGAACAGACTGCAGATAGTTGGGGGTGAGTTTCTGTTTGAAAAGAACGTTCCGTTGCTACTGCATACTTTTATTCTACTTCATTCTACTGTTTAAATGAAATCCTTGAGTGAGATTAGTGCATTTATAGAAAAGAAAGCAGAGATTTTATTGCTGAAACAGGTATTAAAAGACTTTCTGTTAAACCAATGAACAGGAGCTTTTTTCAGTGATACTGAATAAGAATTATTAAAATAATCTCCAGTATCTTCAGAAGAAAGAAATCAAATTTCATGCTTCCATGCTCCCTGAATATTATAAGGTGAAGTGAATCCTATGTAGATAGCCATAAAAGAAGCCACCAGTAGTGGTAGAATAATCCAGACTGTTCTCAGTAGTGGTATATCTCTTGGATCTTACCTTGCATGGTAATTAGACCAGTTGTTTCATGACTTAGAGGCATGTTTTTCCTAGCACAGTTGATGCCACCTATGTCATCCAGATTATTTTTATACAGAAACTAACATTTCTGAGGTCCTGGGTAACTGAATTGTGGCTGCTGAGCTGGAGTGATAGCTGCTGCTTAAATGAGTTGTCTCAGATTACATCCTCAAGGAGGGGCCACTTGAGACTGTATTCATAGTGGCTGAGGCCCAAATTTTGGACCATTTGCAGGGTGGGCACAAAATCAGTTTCAAAAACTTTGTGGTGTGTCCAAGAAAGCAGTGCTCTGCTTGTAGGCCTGGATCCTTCCCGTAGGATGTATGCTGATGGAGCCAGGGGGGACCTGCACAGCACAGACTGGGCCGCTGGAACACGAGTGGGGCAGAGAACGTTTCATCCCTCTCATAATAACTGCAGAAGTAATTACTGCCACCCCAATAGGGAATGCTGGGGTGAGAATTTTGCATCTTTCACCAACCCTTAGAAGATACCTCATCATTCTGGACCTGATCCAATGATAGAGTTCATCCTGCCTCTCCAGCAGGGTGAGTCAGTTCGACAGTGTTGTCCCTTTCATGCCAGAACAAGACCAAGGGCTGTGAGTCGATCGCTGGAAACTCAGGGAATTGGTAGAGGCAGGTATTTCCCGGCTATAAGGTATTAGCTGGAGAAGATAATATTTTCAGATGAGCTGTAAGGTGAGTTCAAAGCTGGTGAGGGCCATCAATTGATCTTGATTGGACTGAAATCTTCTAATGCAACTGAGAAGTGGTGGGAAAACAGGTCATTAATCTCAGTGCAGAGCCGGAGATCAAAACAGTCTTCCCGACTTGCGCTACGGGACAAGTCCCTGCAACGCTGGAGTCGTTTGGAAGAACAGACATTCCCGGAATACAGGCCATTATTTAAAACTTTGTTTATTTCAGCTTTGCTTGTGGGATCCACATTTATGCTTCTTTAAAATAACACCAGTATATAAGCCAAAGGGAACTTGTAAGTTCATAGTTAATCTTCCCTGTTCCCATAGCTAGGAGGAAGCACTCCAGAAGCTTGACACCAAGAGGGTAAGGGTGTATTCTGGAAAAGCTGAGCTGAGGCTCAGGGCATGTGTGATGAGGGAGGAGCTGATTTCTTCTTGTAGCTGTTTGGAGTTAATGAGCTGCTCTGCTGTGTACAGCACCAGGAGCATGGTGAATCTCACAGAAGCACGTTAAATCTCTGTAAGAAGTGTGTGTGCGTGCCTGCCCAAAGGCTGCCATGAAGCACCACCTGCTGACAGACTCTGGGAGCTGGAGACATGCAAACAGTTGTGAAACATGGTTCAGCTAGTATCAATATACACACTGCCTGCCTAGATGTAATTGCACAGGTGTGGAAGAGAGAGCCTGAAGCAGTAGGAAGCGTTGACTGTGTTGGAATGAAGATCTATGTAAGCTGTTAACGCAATAATAGAAATCAATAAGCGAGGGGGCTGTAATTTCTCCTGCGACCTTACTTCAGCATAGCATCATTCATTCACACAGTAACTCTAGGCACTCTGCTGCTTGGGCTTTTGTCCCAAGGAGTCCCCAGAGGGCTCTGGATCAGCAGAGCTTTGCATGGTGACACTTAGGAGTGCCTTGCCCACACGTTCTCCCTTTGTTCCCATTAGAATCAACTCAACTGAAGAGAACTTAACCTTGGTCACTGCAGTTATTTACCGAAAGAACATTGTTGCAAGCCAGCCCTAGTTCTGTCTTTCGGGAAACCCGGAGCTCTTGGTGTCTCTCTCCATACAATGGCAATGACCTGTAGAACAAGGAAGGAAGGGCTCAATAAATGTTTCCAAGGCTCTGAGGGTTCTTTCATGAAAAAGCATGTGCAAAGAGAGTGTCTTGTGATTGCTCTGGAAACGGGCCAGGGTCCAAAGTCCTTTGTGTGACTACAATGTGCCTATGCCCCTGTGCCTAGAAAGGATTGCTACTGTGATGCTGTTGCTATTAGTGCATCTGCCCCCTAGAAGTGTGATACCTGGCATAGCAAAAGGGTTGTGTCTATCGGCCCCCCTAAAGAAAATGTTTGGCATGGTTTGGCGCCGTGTGCAGAGTTACATGCAGGCAATGGGTGTAGCCAGCTGGCCTTGACTCTTGGTCCTCCCCTGAATTCTCTCTCCAAGCTTTCTCTCCCCTTTGTCCTGCCTGTTTCAGGGCCACAAAAGTCCTTGCAGCTGGGCATAACACTGATGGGCAGTGAAAGCCACTTGGTTTCATTTGTGGGCTGCAGAGTTGCCTGCCTTTGCTGGCAATTAATTGGCCTTTGTGGCAGCAATCAAAATACCCTTCACTTACTGCCACTTTTGTAGGTTTGGCTCAATCAGTGCTAACAGTGGGAGGGAACTAAGCTGGTTCACCCATTTACACTTACAGTGTCACCCGTTTATCATCTCACTCTCCTCCGGGCAGAGTGTAATGCTGTAAGGTAATGCTGTGTTTCCAGTAAACTGCTGTTCCTGTTCCAGCTGCCGGAACTAAATCCACGCACTGAAACAGTTGTGGATGAGACAATACTGTAGGCAGGCTATGAGAGAAGGAGCAGCCTGCTCCCCAAAGGAAAAGCATCTGTGGCATGACTTCACGCTCTGAATATGCTCTGAAGAGTGGCTTGGGTGTGCTGGTTCCACTGGAGAGCAGTGTGTTTCTACATTTCTCATCTGCGATTCCTAGGAAGGGAATGATGCTTTTGCTAATACAGAAGAGCACTGTCATTTCTGGTACCATGCCCAAAATCAAAGGATTTTAGTTACTTTTCTACCTGGGGAACGCCCCTTCCAAAGTATCGACTCCTGCTAAACTGGAAGTGGGGCATTTTGTACCAGGTTTCTCACAAAGTCAAGCTCTTTAGCTCAGATTTAGACACAAAAGACTTTGGAAAGGCAGCTGCGAGGGTCAATTTCCCTTCCAGGGTGTTTCAATGGAAATTGGATGTCTGATTAAACTTCCCGCAGTTTGGGTTTTTTTTTTTTCTTTTAATGATTCTGCTTCTGTGAATAACTGGCAGTGCTGCGTTTCCATCAGGATGCAACAGATTTTTCTAGTTTGCAGATTTCAAGACAAAACGCTTTCCTTCTGGAAAGATGGTGCCATATGGCCTGAAACACAAAATTGATCGCTACTGGAAAAAAGAGTTTTATACAAAATGACCTACAACTACAATACCTGTATGCAGAGATCTTGATGAACCTCAGTGCATTTTTCATTTCCTCGGACCAATGTTGACAAAGGGACAGGTTTTTATTGCTCTTTCTAGGGACTCTGATGATCGTGCTCTCTCTAACACTGCGCTGTTTGACCACTGGGTTGTTTATATGCATCTGGAAAATCCTGGGGCTTTCATTAGAAGGTGTATCAATCTCTTTTGCTTGCTGATTCCTGCCTGGTTTGGCTGCCTGGGGAAAGATACACCCCAGACAAGCCTGGCATTCACCATATAACCTAGCAAAGGCCACAGTCAGCTCTGTGGGTGTAAAATAGTTCAGATGCCTAACATGTAGTGGGCTGAATCCAGGCCTACTCTTCCATGCCTCCCTAGCTCTGGTGGCACGTGTGTCTGCACGAGCAGTGTTTCCGTGCAGAGTAAGGCAGGTTCCCAATGATGAGGGAGGGATAGCATGGTCTATCTGGCTGTGTGTCGTGCTGGCGGGTAGTGACCAATAACTTAAACCTCTCACTATTGCAAATGCTCACCTGGTGTTAGGAGTTATAACAAACTCTGGTAGCAGCAGTGCTGGAAAGTAGCCTTGCAAAAAGAGAGCAGAGTGGTGCTGAAATTATTAAAGAAACCACCCAGCATGATTCAGGCTTTTAATTTTATCTTGATTTTTAAAAGCTGGCAGTGAGGCTGCCCCTGCAGCCCCTTTGGCCACCTGAGTCCTTTGTCTATTTAGTGATTTTCTTAGAGTTGACAGCTTTGATTCCTGGAGGACCTCTGGTTTCCCCAGTGCCACCAAGCCATGTGCTTAGAACCTGCTAATATACCTGATTCTGGATAGACGCGTGGGAAGACAGCAGCATGGGAGGAGCTGCTCTGGAAGGACACCAGGTCCAGATTTGATTGCTCAGTCTACATTTCTCTGTCATTGAACTGTGTTCTGGGTTTCAGCAAGCTTTGGAGGTGCTGAATCCCTCCTTAGTAGACAAGGCACGAGAACACAAGCCCAACAGAATTTGGGTCTCCAGGACAGCCCTGAGGATTCGACATGATCCTGTGTGCTGCAGCCTACTTCAGACCTTACAAGGGCTCAGCAGTGTCTAATGCTGAATCCTAGCTGACTCGAGAAGAGCAGGGTTTACAGAGCCCACACAATAATCCAGGCTCCTGCATGGATTATCTCCTT